GGGGGGGGGGAGTGTAGGAACTGAGAGTGGTGTGGATGTAAAGAGAACAAAAAACTACTAGGTTTGAAAAATTTAAAGCAGAAGCAGAAATAAAATCACAACATACGAAACTGTCCTAGCTCTCTGTCTGTATAATGGAAGTGATTTGACGCAACTTTGTTCCAAGAATTATTTGGAGAACTCAATGATAAGATAACACATAAGATCACCTCAACTGCTCCGCCCAGCATTGCCGACAACATCCCAAGGGCCATAGTCAGTGTCTCGGTAACAAATGCTGTTCCCAGTCCGTCCTCATCTGCATCCATAATGGCACAGGCACGTTTCAGTGTAGACTCTATGAAGATGAGCATCTGTGAAGCATTTCTGAGAATGAACTCTCCAAGTCTCTCACACATGAGTGCAATAAGATGGAGGATCAGAAGACTGTGTTGTATATCTGAAAAAAAACAAAACATAAAAATAACATTGCTTAAGGTGACTTGGAAAATTTATATCCTTTCCATCATTGGCACTCTATCATTCATGTAGCTACAAAACAAGAATAACTTTTCATATAGTTACAGCTATAGAAAGTTTCACCTCTTTACTACTTAAATTTTCTATGACACCAAAATAAACTGGAGGTGCGTGGAAAAAAGCCCTGACTCTTAATCTTATCTCAAATTCTCCTTTTTTTCCTGGAAGGAAGCATAAAGCAATTTGCTTGGAGAATCTCACAGTCTATCAGATGTCACTAAGGGTCTTTTTCCGTACAACTCTTAAGTTGTAATTGCAATGCTTAAAGAGGTCAAAATGTTCTCCCTTTTTCCTAATTTTGAGACTACTAAGTTTACCACATCTGACAAAAAATTTATGTGAAAAAACATCAGCATTAAAGTAGCAGACACGGTACCTCCAGAGTTTGTATTGTTCATATCATCTGAAAAGTCTGATATGATATTTGTCAACTCCTGCATCAGGTATACAAAGAAGTCTCCACCAACATTGTCCTTTTTGAGACCACCTAAGAGTTCCACAATGCACAATGCTCGCACTTCACTGTTACTCAAATCAGCTCCTTGTAAATCCCTCAAGATGTCATCAACATAACCATGATCAACAGCATTATCATTTTGACATCTAATTATCACACCGCCATCGTCTCCATGTGCAAACACAAACTTGTCAAACATAAGAGGAACAAAAATGTCTTGTTTCTCATTTTTGTGGCCTGCATTAGAGTTTGTTAGAACTAAATTCTCTGGCAGGCTCATTCTAAAAGCCAGAGTATACAACAGTTGGAGAGTTTGACATTGCTCAGCATTCTCTAGTGTGTAGATAAGGATTTCTTGAAGAGCAGATCTGAAAAATAAACAAATCAAAACATTGAAACATCTTTAACTACTAAATAATCAGGAGTTGGTTTGGGGTCAAGGATCCTATCCCTGCGGATTTACGATCGCGAGTCATTTATAGGTTTTCATGTGCAGGCTGTAGTGCCCATTATGTTGGTGAAACCAACAGACACTTCACTACTCGCATCCGTGAACATCTCTCCTCTGACAAACATTTCCACATCCTTAAACACCTGAGAAGTTCTGAAAATTGTTGCTCCCTTTGTTCAGAAGACTGTTTTAAAATTCTTGACTCTGCTTCCACAAGCTTCCAATTGAAAATCAAGGAAGCCATGCACATCCTTTAGGAGCAGCCACCTTTAAATTCCCAGGCCAAACATCTTAATTTATCCCTTTTATACTAATTACTCTACATTCTTAGCTTAAATAGTTTTCCCTTTTTTTTTGGTTTGCACCTGCATCCTTGATTATTCTTGTTAATATCTCACTTTGTTTTACTATTAATTTTATTGCATATTTTCATTTTATTTCACAATGTACAACTGACAATGGATGATGCCTCATCTGAAACATGTATTTTCTACATTAAATAATGAACTTCAAAAACATTGTGCGGTTCATCAAAGCCATATCCTACTAAATAAGTACTTTTAACAAAATGAAATGAACAATGTCCAGGGTTGATGTCCTTCTTTTGGTGACAAATGCAAACCAAACTCCTTAACGGTATATGAGCTTGAGCTTAGTGCAGGGTTTTCATTACAGGCCCTAACCCATAGCACCTGTTACGGCTGAGTATGCTTGATTTTCCCTTGATACTGCGGGTGAAGTTGTCTGTTGTTGAAAGAATTCACCCACAAAGTAACAAGTTTGCTACAGGTGTGGAGAACAAGGCTTCAGGTGACTCAAAACTTCATAACAGCCCTGAAGTGTCCTCAACATTGACGAAGTCAAGCTAATTCTCGCACCACACAGAAATGTCCATGGCAACCAAGTGAGTGGTGTCAACTACATATAGTGCCATGACACTGATCTATAAAAATCACCAACAAATTCAAAGCAAATCTGCACAAGATCCCTAAAGACTTCAAAATTATTTCACATAGGTACAAGCATTTTTCTTTACACCTTTTGGCAGTGGAGTGCACATACATGTATCATGGAATGCTGACATTTGACTAAGCTCACCTTAGATGAGAAATTCCTTTCCTTGTGAAACAGAAGAGTTCAAAAACTGGATGGACAATTGGCATCAAAAATCTTAACTCATCATCAACTGATCCTGAAACAAAGACCTAAAAGACATATAATCAAGTAATTAATGACCAAGTCTGTTTAAAAATTGAGGTACACCTTGTTCTGTTGCAATACACAGTCGAACACCTATTAGAGATAATTTCCAGTCCGTACTGCGCACCCTCGAGAGTTTGCTTGTGTTTTTCGATTTGTTTCATGAAAGACATCACAAAATGTAAACATTTTGCAACTACTGACAGTGTACAGTGTTTCAAAACAACCATTATTATGGATATGAAGCGGTCGAAGCTTTATGTTTCATTCTTTCTTTTGTCACTATTGCGGAGCACCTCTTGTAGAATCTTACTATAACAAATCAAACACTTCTCATAAAAATTGACCGAGATATCCTTGTTTATCATATTTGATCAAAATTTGGTTGAGTGTATGAGGTCATCACTTGGCTAATTTGCATAATATTATTTATTTTAAAAACTTGAATATCTCTGGAACGAAAAGAGATAATTATTTGAAAACAGTAAACAGCATTTTTACTCTTGTACAGACTACTTGTTTATGTCTTAAAATGGCTCAGATATGAATGAGGTGATTTTCATCATAGTAGCACTTTAAGGGGCCATTATCCATTTCCCTGAGAGTGGCTATCTAATAAGGGTTGCACTGTATTAACTTTTTTAAAAATGTTAGAAAATTCGTGCTTAAACATTAATCATCTCAAAATGACCTATTTTTGATGATGTAAAGTAACTTTGCAAAGTCATAATATTTTCCCAGATCTACCTAAAGAATTACCTTGAATAATGCTATAAAGTTAATTTCAAGTACAATTAAGGGAAACTGAAACATGTGTACCTTGTGAATATCTTCAACACATCTTACAACTGTGAGTTCATCAACAAAATCACCAACAACTTTTTCATCTAAAAAAGTTTAATCAAAGAAAGAGTCATAAACTGTTCCTTTTAAAAATTTGTTGTCTTGGCTCCCAAGAGAGCTCGAATTGCTAGAAATCCTTGCATAAGATTTTTAAACTGTTTTGCTTATTATAATCCCAAGTAAAACCAAAACAGTTCTAAGCACTGCAACTAGGGCAAAGGACCATATTCCAGAACATCCAGGGATTATTGAATGCAGTGATCCAGAGTACAGTATGCCAAACATTATGTCACACAAAAAAAAAAACCGTCCTTAAAAGTGATTTCTGGTGTGTACTGCGCAGTCTCAGCACCACAATAGCCCATTGCAAAAACCTGAGAGGACTGGGAAAGAGTATGGTTGTTTTCTGTTTGTTCGAAAAACTAAGATATTCAAATGAAAGATCAACTAAATTTGAGTCTTAAGCAAGAATAGAAGTATTTAGAGGAGGAAAATGGCAAAATGATATCACCTAAAATAGAGAGTGTGTATGGATTGGGTAGACAGGCCACAAAATTGTAAAGGTTTGTATGGAATTTTGCAACTTTCGCAAGGCTCCCATTTAGACAATTTTCTGCTGAAAACTCTCCAACTTGACTGGGTAGCTTTTAATTCAGTGTAACATTTCAGTTGAAATGTTTAGATTTTCAATCTAATCGATATAAGAAACTCGTCCCAGTCCTCTCACATTTTTGCAATGGGCTATGTCTGTGAGTCTCAATTGATGGAACATGAATCAATAATATTTGATATGAACCACTTACCTTATCTTTGAGGCAATTTAAATTCTTTTTCCAGCAGTTTCTTTGATTTTTACAGCTATGAATTTGTTACAATTCGTTTACAAAAAAAAAGTGATGCCAGAGAGAACAAATCATAAAAGCTTCGCATCCATAATGGCGGTAGACATGAAACGTTGAATTAACTTCATGTAACTAGCAGCGAAAAGTTACATTTTGTGATGTCTTACATGAGTCAAAACAAAAAAAAGAAACAAACTCTTGAGAGTGCGCAGTACGGACTGGAAATCATTGTTAAGGTCATTGAAAACTAGAACATATGTAGATGGCTGTCTTAAGATACCACCCATCGGCTGCATGTTTCATACATACATGTACACTTTAATAGGCCTTTTGCACAATACAATCACATGGTATAGGATCTGCCATGCTGGATGG